AATGATTCTTGATCATGAAAATTTAATGGACCATTTGATAATTGTAATGTATATTGAGATTTTGTTGTTAATAATAAATGATTATGATTTATGTTTAATTTTTCATATGCACTTATACTAATTGTTTGTTGAAGATTAGAATTTTTAAGTATAACACGAATATTTGTAATACCAATTTTAATTGGTTTAAATATAAGAAATGCACATGAATCATTATTATGATCATCAGATGATATTATACCTTGATATTGAAATATATTATTATCAATAAATATATCAAAATCAAGATGAGAACAACATGTTAATGCTTGTTTTTTATAATATAATTGAATTGGTAAATAAAGTAAAGAATTAAGTTCTGTTTCAACTGGACATGGAAATAAATTAAATTCATTCGGTTGAACAACTTCAACAGGAACAGTAGCATTTAATTCAGGAGATTTTTTATCAAAAACATCAACCATTGTAGAATTTAATGAGGTTTGTTCCATTAGATCACCAGTCGACGAAACAGTGACTAAAGAATGAATAATATCAAAATTAAATATCTGAATTTTGGTTTTTTTTTTTCAAAATCAATTCATTACTTACCCACACTTGTATCTCTTGATGTAAAAATATAATCTCCACTTCCACCTAAAACTTTAATTGGACAATAAGGTGTTTTGACTTCTTTTACTGTAGTTTTTTCTGGTAAAAGTACTCGTTTCGGTTGTACAGCTAATGGTAAATAAACTTCAAACCATTGTTTTGTTGAAGCTATAGTTAATAATTCAATAATATCATTATTTTTCATTCCATTAAGATGAAATTCTATTTCAAATCTTCCTTGACAATTAGGTCGAAGAATATATTGTGTACCATTTTGATATAAAGGTTTTAAATTTAAACAAGTTTTATGTAATTCATTAGGTATTGTTGCTGATAAATTTAAATTATCAGTTGGATAAATTTTTCGACCATTAACATCAAACATTTCAACTGTAATAAGATAATATGATCCTATTTGAAATATCCATGGTCGTGTTGAATTTGTTATTGCTGATAAATAACCAATATTAACAATACGTATCATTAAAGATGTCGGTTCATATGTATCATTATCAATAGCTTTCATATTACGATCAATTAATTCTAAACGTGATTGTTCATCAGCATGATCTGTTGCAGTAAATATAAGTGTTTGATCATCTAAATAACCAGCATCATTAGTAATTAATTTAACTTCATAGAGTATTCGTGTTGATGGTAAATCTGTTATATCAATTGATTCTTGTCGTTTTATTTGATAAAGACGAAATGCTAAACGTGAATATGGAAGTAAATAAACATCAGTTGATGGATGAAATTGAACATTAGCTGATACAGATAAACGAACAGGTTTTGTTCGAATACCATGATAAACATCATTATCAATAAATTCAGCTTGAACAAATGCTGATCCAGTACGAAGACCTTCAAGAAGAATTTCGTATGATAATGAACCATGTGATTCAAGATTTCGAACTGTTTCACTCATTTCATAAGATGAATCAGTTAAACGAAGAATACGTATTACTTTTGTTGCATCAAGTGTTCCACTTGTAGGTTTTTTCACACCTTTAAAAAAATAAAAAATAATTAGCGACTATCGCTCTAACTATATTAGAAAAAAACTTCAGCAAGATCGAACTCTGAAAAACTATTGCTTTTTTTTATAGAGATTCTGAAGAATGATATTGTACTATTTTTGAAACTTTTCATTTGGTTATAAGGGCAGTTGTTTTTTGTATTCCGTCATGACGCTAACGAATGATTTGACTCATATACCAAGACAATATTATAATATACAGGCTAAACTATAAACAGCATTATGTAAAAGAAAAATGAAATATTTCCGCGTTTGTTCAATGAAATGAGCTGAGTAGAAATTTTCTTTTTCATATAAAAGTAATTTTATATGTTATTAAGTAAGAAAAAAAATCAAAACGAACTCTAGAGAAAATTTTTAAATATGAAACTGGTTTTTTCCACGAAAATCCATGCAATAATGCGTTTGACTTATCTGGGATACGAATTTTAGTGCTACTTTTGAAAACTCGTTTTGTGTGCGTTAATATAGTTTGCTTTGATTTTTTTTCGAAGTATTCTCTTAGATGGTAATTGAAAATGATCTATGAAATGCTTTGTATGTTTTCTTTGCACTTAATAATAAGCGAAATTTCTTTAGTGAAGTAAAAAAGAAAAAGGTAAACTTTAAATGAACTCAAATCAAATACATTCCATATCGAAATTTCACAGATGGACTTTGAGATGAAAGTTTCTGAAAAGCTTAACACGATGAGTTTTCAGATCCTAAGAACAAAAAAAAAAAAATAAGACACATCGATCGGCTTCATCTCATCTTTGCTGTATTTCATAATTAATTAAGAGCTTCGATTTGAAATAAACAATCAACTTAAAACTTTGATTTCGTTTATCCGAATTTATATTGTTCAAAAAATAAGCATGGCTTAATGTCCTCTGAAGAAAAACCTACTTTGTTCATCAACAATAGCAGCATTTAATAATTTCCATTCAAAAGAAAAATGTTCAATTGATGAAAATGTTGATCCATGTTGATCATGTGCACGTAATTTAAATAATTCAGGTGCATCTTCTAAATATAATCGTGTTGTTGTATAAATAATTTCCATTGTTTGAATTTTATCAATAATAACATCACATCGTACAGATTGTCCAGTTAAAATATCTCGAGCATAAACAGTTGCACTTGAACGTAATGATTGTTTCGTATGAGCTATAATATTTGCATATAATGAACAGTTTTCACCATTTTTCATTGAAAATGGTCCTATGGGATCAATACGAACAAGGTCAGGACGTGATGACGACCATAAAAAACAACCATCGGTTGCTTCTAATGTAAAATTTGTTTCAATACGTGGATGAAATGGTAATAAAATCTTTGGTTGACTCATACGAATCGCAGCTAAACTTAGGTGAAATAATGTAAACAAGATTAGACACTGAAACCATCCCATCTTCTAATAATCTAAAACGTAGAAGGATAATTAATTTTGGGCTATTCAACAAAAAAAAGAAACACAAAAGAAAGAACAGTGAAGGTGTATAATCGTATTGCCCAATTGGGATTTTCATATGAACACTAGCGACAATTTATAAAGTATACTATACAATTTTTAAATCATATTTCTAATCAATCAATTTGGATATTTGAAAAAAAAAAAAGAATTATGAAATGAAGAAAGTATTTAATCATTTGATTAAGAATGGTCAGTAGGTAAGAAAGATTTGCACGAATAGGAAAATCTTAATCCAGAGTCGAGCCGATTATACTCAGATTGAATTTTCTTTTCCAACGGTTCTTTTGCGAAATTATATTCCATTCAAGTTTTATTATTCTTCATATTTAATTTCATTCGTTCGTTTATTCATATAAACGAAGATGATTTATGAAAAATCGTGATTGTAAATATTTGTCTTCAGGGCTGGCCCGAAGCAACCAGCATTGGATTGAGTCCTGTTTCATCGAAAAATTAGAACTAATTAATTAATTTTGTTGATTCATCGCTACTTTATTCAACAGTATTTTATGAATAGAAATACAAATATGTATTAGAGAAAATGATTGTAATAATAGAAGTGAGAACATAATTCAATAGTTCATCAGAGAGTAGCAAAAAAATGTTAATATAATTTTTTTATTTAATCTTATTAAATTATTCATATAACGACAAAAAAGCTTTTTACATATCGTTACATTAAATCAAGAATTCGTTGGTTTTGAAAAATATTTTTTTTTTATCTCGTGGAAAATATTGTTGCCAAGTTGTTTCATCGTAGCCGTGTTGGACGTAAAATTTCTCTTCAATTCGTTACTCATTACATATAAGTAAGTTTGCACTGAGGAAGCAGTATTTGCATTAAGCTGATGCTGCGCATCGTCCAATACAGTTGTGTGTGGAAGTAGAGAAGCCCAATATTTACACGCATATTATCTAGTTAAAAGCGCTTTTCTGGCCTTTTTACTAATGGTAACAATCATTTTAAAAAAGTCGAATAGTGTCATTACTGTTTAGTTTGTTTCTTTCTCTTCAAAGTCAGATTTCTTGAGTAAAGTTTCTAAAATTGTTCAGAAAACAATTATGTCGACGAAAAGAGTAGACATCTACACGTCTACCCTTCAGTAGAGCCAACTCTGTTTATTGTTAAGAAATTAAAGAAACCTATTATTATTAATTATGAATCACGTCATCCCATGGCTTGAATGCCAATTTCAAATCATATAATCTTTTAATAACAGTCAAATTAATCAAGACAAAGCTTTTTTTAACCGTTGCTATCAGAAAGTTATTAAAAACTCTTTATTTCTATTATAGGATACTTTAAAGCAAAAAGCAATTTTCTACACACCGTTGCTAATCTAGAATTTAATCTATTAAAATAATGTATTATCTTTGCTATGATTTAGCTTAGATTATTTACTGGTTCTATAGGAAATGAAAAGTTTTATGTCATATCCAAAGTTTACCTATCTTTTCGATCGTCCTGAACTTTTTTGTATATATGATAGTAAATTTGACAAAAAACACAAACTAACTCGTATAAAATTATTGCCATGGATACGCTCATGAATGATCTATGATTAAATTATTACTAGTAAAATATCCTCTTATTGCCAAAAGAATCTGTTTATAGACGAAAATCTATATTAAAATTTAGTATGTTGAATTTCATTACAATAACATATTTCTAGACTACAATCTGATTAAGATAGTGAATAAACTGTTTGGAAAATTAATGGATACTTTTTTTTTTTCTATTTTCAAAATATATCTCTAATTATTAATCAAGCAATAATGAACATTATTTGTCAACAAAATATATTATTAACTACAAAAATCAATAAATAAATTTCTCTTATTTATAGATTTTTCTTTTATAACATTTATTGTTTACATCTAAATATCGAACTCATTTTTATACCATCTAACATCATGTCTAATAGACCACATTCACAAGTAAGTAAAACTGAAAATTGATTGTAGACTAATTTTATAACATTTTCTATATAGAATCAACACAATAAAAACAATTGTGTATTTCGTTGTTCGAAGTGTACTCTTAGTTTTTCTAATCAAAAAACTTATCATGAACATTTACGTAATCATACTATAGTGAGTTATCTTAATATGAATTCATCATCATTATCATGGCATAGAATCTTTTCTTATTTTAGACTCATAAAACCAATGTACATAATTCTATGAGTGATACGTCAGCATCAGATGATACAGCTCGATACATTGCTGAACGCCGAAAGTAAGATTTCATTAGAAAAGAAATTTCTGTAGTTAGATACATTATAAAACGAAAAGTTGAATTCCGCTGCTTATAAGTCGCCCGTTAAAAATCCGTCAAAGTCTTCTTTGTATGAGGTTTAACTGATTTATCTAATAGAACAGAAGCTCTAACAAAAAAAAATACACACGTTAATAATCTAAATTAAAGAAGTTTCTGTCAAAAACGAATTGTCTTAATAAGATAATCCTATGAAAGTGTCACAAAATAGTAAGAATAAAATTAATGAATCTTTTTTATGTATGTTAGTTAAATCAGTTACTTGTTATTTATTTATAGAAATTATCCAACAACAGACAACATTAATAAGAAAATGAAATCTGATGAAGAACGACAAGAACGTGGTGATGTATTAGAAACTCGTCAATTTGGGTTAGTAATAATAATAACCTATAATGCGAAAGTTTCGACACAAAATATCTACTCATTTTTCAGCAACTTAAAAGCGACTGATTAGAGCCAGAAGTATTTCCCTCTTTTCGACAATGTGTTCAGAATTTTCTTCAGGGAGAACATTTGACAACTATCGTCAGATTATTTGAAATAGTGATTGTACAGGATACTATTTTGTATTTCAATTGAAATCGATCAAATTCGAAATGTGAAATAGTTTTTAATGACTCAGGAGGGAAGTTTTCGAACTAATTAATTGCCTTTCAATCAGAACTAAGCGCTTCATATAAACCCTAATGAGCTATGAATGATCAGAAAGAAGTTTGGATCCTTAGCTTATTGCTACCGAGATATTGCATCTTCAAGGTATTTTTTACCTCAATATCGTGGTCTTCTCAGGAATATAAGGAAAATTCAGTTTGAATCTTGATTTGAAACTTTACATATAGACAAATGTTAATGAAAATAGTTTATTGCGAAAGTTTCAGACTTTTTCGCGTTTCCTAGTCTATGATATGACTATAAGGAAAGTATATCTTTTACACCGATTGATTCGATCTTCTTATATCAAGATAAAAACTAATCAAACAACTCAAAACTTTCATAATGCACTATACTCGTTAAAAAATGTCTTTGTACCTTAAGAGAGGGTCCATGAGAGCATCGACCAATGCGTGCATATGAAAATTTTTGTTTTCAGAATGAGTTATACCATTCGAAAGTCCGTGAAAAGTTATTCTTAAATCCAAATTTTTAGCTCTTTCTGGAAATCCTATCTAGAGATATAAAGTGATCTTTGAACCCATCCTCAAGTGTTATGTTAGAAATTTGACAAATTTTCAAGAATTCGATTTAACACTTCAAGACGATATATTTTAATATTGAAAATCCTACTTTTTAGTATGCTTTAATATATTTTGTTTAGATCTATTAAATAAGCTATTATAGCACGAGATTCTCCAGTATAAACTCCACCTAAAGTGCTCTTTTTTACTAAAACATAGCAAAAAAAAATTCTTTTTTTTTGTAGGTATTTTAGTATTCTTGCCCTAAAAGTATATTAGAACAATGCGCTCCCAAAAATCTTTTATTAGTAGGAGATAGCCGGTGAAAACTGCATCTTTCTATGCATGACTCAATAGAAAATCGCGTGGTAGGCTGATTCAATTTTTCAACACAAGCAATGACCAGAATGCATATTTTTCCATATGGACCAGTCAGTCCATGTAGGCCAGAGTCCAACTAGCTTAGTTCAGGTACTTCAAATTTTCCTCAGTTAAAGAGAGCTTGTAGAGAGAAGAGTTCTGCAAATTTCCACGCAAGCCACTCGGGAAAATATTGTTCCGTTGTTGAGATATTCCATTTGCTCTGAGAGTACTATCGTCAAAAAAAAACCACTTTTTAAAAATTTTTTCCGACATGGATATCTCATCAAGGACATCTACAATTGACTTGATATTTTTACCGTGAGTGCGTATCATAATTGTACATTATTCGAAAAAATTTGAGATTGATTGGATTTACTATTGGTGAATTGTCGAGTACCACCAAGTACACGAAAAATGGTCATTTGCTGTATTTTGTGGGCTTACCTATCTCATGAATAGATCGTGTCGGAGAGGTAAAACTTTGGTTATAGAGACATCTCATTGAGTACTTACTACACTAAGAATATCAGCTCTCTATATAGTTCCTATCGCTCACGAGGTGTCCCACAAAATCGAGATTTTCACCAAAATCACAATTTTGGGAGGGCCAGATCTCGCAAGAAATAGGTTCTGTAGAAGTCGGACCTATATAAGTTTTTAGTACTCACTGAGTACGACAAAACTATGAAAAAATTCGCCTAGGATCTAGAACAGTGAGTCCGGAAGACTTATTGAAAAATATAACAAAATGGCTTATTGCCATAGAAAATGGGCCAAACCTCATTTAGAAATTCTTCGAAGAGTCTTATCACAATAGATAAATTATATCTACTTTGAATCATCGTTTGGTCTTCTATTACCCATTATCAAAATATCCTTTCAAATCAAAAAGAATTTTTTTCTTGAAAAAACCCGTAGGGGGGTAGGGGGATTTCGGCCAAACCGTTGTTTCTGAGAACACCTGGAGGGGGGTACGGCAACTTTTCGAAAAAAAATTCTTTTTGATTTGGAAGGATATTTTGACGGTGGGGGACAGAGGACCAAACGGTGATTTAAATTAGATATAATTTATCTATTGTAAAAAGGCTCTTCGAAAGCTTTCTAAATGAGATTTTGCCCATTTTCTATCGAAATAAGCCATTTTTGTATATTTTTCAATAAGCGTCCCGGACTCACTCTTTGAGATCCCATGCGAATTTTTTCATAGTTTTGTAGGACTCAGTGAGTACTAAAAGCTTATATAGACCTGACTTGTAGATAACCTATTTCTTGGGAGATCTCTTGAGCGATAGAAACTATGTAGAGAGCTGATACTCTTGGTGAAGTAAGTACTAAATGGGATCTCTCTATAACCAAAGTTTTACTTCTGCAACACGATCCATTCATGAGATAGGAAAAGCCACAAAATACCGAAAATGACCAGTTTTCCGTGTACTTGGTGGTACTGGGTAAGTCACCAATAATAAATCCAATCAAACTCAAATTTTTTCGAATAATGCACAATTATGATACGCACTCACGGTAAAAATATCAAGTCAATTGTAGATGTCCTTGATGAGATATCCATGTCGGAAAAAATTTTTAAAAAGTGGTTTTTTTTGACGATAGTGCTCTCAGAGCAAATTGAATATCTCAACAACGGAACAATATTTTCCCGAGTGGCTTGCGTGGAAATTTGAAGTACATGGACTGACTGGTCCATATGGAAAAGTATGCATGCGGACCATTGCTTGTGTTGAAAAATTAATTTAGCCTACCAAGCGCTTTTCCGTTGAGTCACATATAGAAAGATGCAGTTTTTCACGGGCTATCTTTTGCTGATAATATTTTTTTGGGAGAACATTGCTGTGATATGCTTTTAGGGCAAAAATTCAAAGAAAAATGATTTTTTTTCTGTTTGTTTTCTAGTAAAAGGGGCACATTGGGTCGAGCTTATACTTGAAAATCTTCATCTATGATAATGAATTTAATAGATCTAATCAAGATACATCAAATGACATTTAAAAAGTGGGGTGTTCAATAGTAAAATATGTTGTCGTGAAGTGTTAAATCGAATGCTTCAAAATATGTCGAACTTTTGGCATAATACCTGAGGGTGGGTTCAAAGACCACCTTATATCTCTTGATTGGCATTTCAGAAAGAGTTAAAAATTTGGATTTAAGAATAACTTTTCACGGGCTTTCAAATGATATGGCTAATGTCGAAAACAAAAATTTTCGTATGCAGGCCTCTGTTTAAATTGGTCGGTTTTTTCGTGGACCCTCTCTTAATAATGCATTATCTCCATTTCAATTAACTAAGGACTCCAACTCTTTTCAGAATATTCATTACTCATTTAGGTTTATATGACGCAGGCAGTTCCAATGCAAAAATGAACAATCAGTTAAAAGACTTCTCTCGTCATTTTTGTAGAGCAAACTTTGATCTACAAAGTGTGCTATTTACTTTTATACGACAGATTTTTAAACGTTTGCACTTGTAAAAGAAGTTTTTTGAAACAGCGATTTTCATCGAAATTAATTCTTTAGTAGAAACGCATGGATGAGATTTTGATTATTGTAATATCTCAGAATAATGTTTAATTGAAGTTGTTTCAAGATATGGATTACGCCGAAGTCACTATGTTGCTTTGTACAAACACTACTTTGAACTTTCTTACAAAATTTACTGGTAGCTTGTTCAATCTTATCCTAGAAGGAAAATCTGAACAGTGAAAAATTTTTATTTTGGCTCTGAACAGTTGTTCGAAAAATGAACAAATATTTTGTGTCAAGACTTTTCGCGCTATTGGTTATCATATGCTTCAGCAATTAAATTTTCTTATTTGTTTGATTAGACGAATGAAAGAACGTAAAACAAACTCAAACAATACTAATAAGGTATTTGTTAAAAAAAAGTTCTATAGTCAAATTTTTAGTATAATAAATAACATATTGTATTGTTATCTAGACCGAATTGACAAAACCAATCATTACAATTTCTGCAACCAAAAGTACCAATGCTAGTGCAACATTATTAGAACGAGTAAACAAAACTATAAAATGACTTTTCATATTATTTCTGCTTTTTTAAATAGCTTTTAGCACCTGATATTCGTCGTGAACGTAACATGGTACTTCAGTGTATTCGTCATATTGTTAATAATAATTTCTACGGACTTGATGATAATTGACTTCTGTATGGTCTGGTAAAGGACTCGCCGAATTTTAGGACTTATCTTCAATTAGAATATCATATATATGGTTTTCTAGAGCAATTTACGGCTTATCGAATGGTATATAAAAGTTTTCCTCACATTTTAATGTACTAATTATACATACGCTGGTTATAACTCTTGAGGAATATATATGGTATTCATAGACATAGTGCTTCCCAAGATATTCTAAGATAAACTTATGCGCATTTTTTCAACTCAGTCCGGTATAGTTATAGATGCTCTTTAATATTCTATAATCCACAGTTTTCATTATTTCTTTCTTCATACTTAAAAGCATGGTATCCTTTCTTGAATTTTGACTATATGATATTTCAGCGTATTCTACTCTGTACCACAGAACAAGTGAGCATTAACGTGAAACTTTCTTAAAACTTGTACATTATTGAGTTCTATAGGCCTCACACATAACACCTTTTGTAACAACAGGGACTCATTGTAAACTTGCGAGATAATGCCTTCGAATATCCTATTTTTCCACATGAAAAGGACGATATATTGACAACATTCTAATAATACTCTCAAGGGTCCCTTAAAAAAATTTGATGTATTGATAATCAGCACAGAATTCCTGATGAACTGATAGAAATAACTCGTTAATAAACGGTAAGCAATTTATTGGTCTTCAGACTCTTGAAGAGGGATACGGTATGCGAAAAAATTTATCTTTGAAATAAATATGAAATATTTTTTGATTGTTGTAGAATTTCTTGCAAAAAATCAAACTTAAACACTCTGAATACAATTTTGGAAAAGGGATAATAACAATAGCAGACCTCCTTTCTACAACCATATTCCTGCACCTCCGCCTCACTAGACGTCTGAAAGTCAAAAAGTTTTTTTTTCATTTATGAAGAAACTATTTATATTAGCTTGTCTGGGATACTGTGCTGATTTTTGGTAGATAACAATTGTAAGAGGACTATTGAGTATTATTATAATATCGTCAATATACTAGCTCCTTCATATAGAACAATAAACTATTCTAGGAGATACCCTTGCAAATTGGCAAATGAGTCTCTACTATTCCGATAGATGTTATGCATAAAACATATAGAGTTCGATAATGTGCAAGTTTTGAGAAAGTCTCAGGCTGGTAGCCACTTGCTCTGTGGTATAGTGTTTAACACATTGAAATATCATATAGTCAAGACCTAAGAAAAGGTGCCATTTTTAAGTATGAAGAAAGTAACGATGAAAACCATTGATTGTAGAAAATTAAAGAGCACTTATAATTATATCGAACTGAGTTTAAAAACAAAATTTGTACCCGTTTATCGTAGAACATTTTAGAAACCACAATACCTATGATTAACAATATGTACTTTGGAAGAATTATAATCAGTGTATCGATCCTTAACACCTAGAAATTTTTATATAACATTCAGTGCGCTGTAAATTGCTCTACGAAACCAAACATATGGTATCCTGATTCAAGATAGATCACCGAATAGGGCATTTAAAATACGTTTTCTTTTCTTTATTTTAGTTTAGGTGACAAATGATTTTTGATGATGGAAATACGGAGTATTGCCACGTTGCAATGATAGTAAATCAGACTATTGTTTACGAAATATGGCTTACTTTTTTTTTCTATCTTGTTACATTTCTTTCATGTTTTTTTTCTTATTGATATGTTCATTTGTATGATTAGTCAGATTAAATTTCGTTTTCTTTAATACTTGAAGCGGATTCAATTTTTTGATATTAGTTTCTGCCTTGTAATCGATATGAATTGTTTTCTTTGAAAACATTTCAGTTCTAACATTAAAAGATTTGCAAGCAATAATGATTCATCGAACAAAACTTATTGCTGAAATAAGAATAATTTAGATAAATGTTAAATTTTATGTATGACTTTAGGCTTAAACGTAGGCTATAAATTATTCATTTGGAATTGTATGCCGAAGATGACAATAAATTTGTGAGACATTTTGTATATTTAAAATAGCAATTAGTTGATAACCTAAGAGCTATTTATACTTCGTCAACTCTATTCATATTGGCTATATATGGTAAAGCAGAAAGCTATTATCAACATTAACATAATGAAATTCCATTTTCTAATTAGAAAAACGACAGTTACTAGTTTCTATAACTTAAATGTGATTAGAAAACGTCAATTTAGTTATTCATCAACAGGGAAAAATCATTTCAATTAAATTGTGCTATATCCGTTCATGATATGATCATTCATTTATTTCCTAGTAAATAAAAAACAACATATACTTATTACTGAGTTATTCGTCTAAATAAAGAAGAAAAATGAAATTGATGAAGCATTGATGAATCATAATAAGGCTCTTGAAGTTCAACAAGAATGTTAATCAGATAATCATTATACTATTAAAAAAGCTTAAGACTATATAAAATTTTTTGATTATAATTAAAGTGATAAGGATCAAGCTCTCGAATGTTAAAAAGAGATCATTGGAGATTAAAATCAAATCATTTTCATCGACACATTAGACCATTGAAATAATATATCATGATTTTAATTTAGTCTATGGGCATATGGAAAAGTTGTTTGATATTGATAGATTTGAAGAAGAGCGCATATGTATTGAAGAAAATTCAATACATCACTATTTACTTCGAGGTTGCATATATGAACACATGAAGCTCATCATAAAACTTATACTTACCAAAGGATTCATAGTATAAACTAGAATATTAAATAATATGAAGCATAAACACAGTGTTTAAGTGTCAAAAAAAATCATATTGTATTGTAATAAACAGAAAACATAGTGTTTTTCTACCAATAGAAAAAAACTAGCAAAATTTACCTCATTTCCTTAAGATGGAAAATATAATATCACAGCATTTTAGTTACAAAGGAAGTTGATGTTCAGAAATATGCCTTTACTTATGCTTCCTTCTTTTTTAATTTACCAGATGTTGATTGTAAAGGATGAATGTCATCAAGTATAGATGGTATATAACAGTTGAGCATCAAACACAATCGTTTTCATATTGATACAATGTTAAATTTATAGTTATGAAATATCTTTGATGATGATTAAGTGCATGCATGCAGAAAGATATTAGAATTTTGGAAATCCGCATTTAACGAAATGCTTTAATCAATTGTCAACGAATTAACTTTTATATTAAGTAACGTTTCAAAATATGAAGTTTTGATCTTCGATAACATAATCTTTTGATACCAATTTAAAAATAATGGGTACGATTTCTTTTATTTTCTTCAGGTACAATAGAAAACGGCAACTGATAAAATTATTAATTATAAACTTTATATAATATAATTACTTTTCTTCTGTAGTGAATTTAATATTCATCATTTTTATTTTTCACAAAAAGAAATTTTAAATTTATGAAAGAAAATTATTATATCAGAAACATTTCTTGAATCTTCTGAATACTATCACAATAAAATTTTGTGATACAAATATTATGATGATGAGATATAAAAATATCTTCCGATGTTTTCCTTCTGTCAAAACTTTGAATGTTCTATAAATTTTTGTATTTTTATAAAGCCTCTTCTATCAGAAAAAAAGTCAATTTTCGTCAGAAAAGTCGAAATTGAGCTAAATACATGAGGAGATAGCCCGAGGTCTGATCTTTCATAAACGATATAATATTTTTGTTTGACACTGCCTTCTTTGCCGAAAATGTTGATGATCTTAGTCACCATTCGCATGAAACATATGCTGTTTTCAGAAAAACTCGGAAATGTGTTTTATTTTCTTCTTTGCCTATATTTTTTAGGGTACGCACCACAAAATTCTTAAGGAGGCTTCATTGTAGCCAATAGCATTTTTTTTGTTTGAAAGAGCATATGAAGCTGCAGCAACCGACACAGGTCGTTTGTTGAATTAAGCTTTTTTATGATTACATAAAAACGTTTTTCTATAAATAAAGAACCAGTTTTTCGAGTGTTTAAATTTGTCGTTCTTTTTCTCTGCATAAAAAGTAAGAATTTTAAAAAAAGCTGTTAGGAACTGCAATCTGGCATACTTTTTTAAATAGAAAAGAAAATTAAACTTATACAATGAGAGTCTACAGAGAATTCAAAATTGCCAGGTTAGCGTTTTTGGACCCTTAGTCGTTGAATATCTTCTGAAAGCGTCAGGATATACGGCTGAAAATCTTAGCATAGCCTCTCTACCATATATATCTTCAACACATGCTGAAAATTTCATGTGATTTGACAGCACTTGGCCCAAGACCGATTTTTCAAAAGGTGAGGCTTAATGTGTTTATTCAAATAGAAAAATATCTACTTTATTTTATAAGAATTTTCAGATGTTTATCGTATGATTAAAAATCTTTTTTTTGTTCATGTTAATAACACGTAAAACATATAATTTAAATCTCAAGCCTGTTAGGTCATAAAGCGAAAGTTTCTTTAGACAAACAAATCATGATCCCAATGAAAGAAACTGATTCATTCTTTTCTCTCAAAAGTATGACTGATGGTATGTCAAATGGGGAAAACAATGCTTTGCTTCTGGTAAGTGTTCAATTTCATTCACAATTGATTTATGATAATGGTGATAGTCACTTTGTCACTACTTGGCATAACAGCGACGTATGTAGAACAAGAAAACGAAGTTCTAATGCAGACCAACATTCTCATGAAAGAAAAAGATGACCACCGAGTTCCTTAAGTTCAAAAATGTTAAATTCAAATCCCGTTTATTGCACTTTTTTTGGAACTAGGACCCGAACTCATATCTGTTTTCTTCGATATGTTGTGTTCGGTGACTAGCGCAGTTTACACATTTCTCAGACGACAACAGCCCGCCAGGTTCAAAACTTTCTGATTCGGATCCAATATGGTTTTGACCGAGTCCAGATTCAGTACTAATCCAACCCGTTCTAGCTGCAGGCCTAATGAAAGAGTGCAATCCGGGCTTGCTCTAAAGTCTAGGACAATTTCTTTTCGCAAACTTCATCTAACTTTGATCAACGACTTCAAGTTGTCTAAT